TTCTAAATAAAAATCACAGCTTGATTATATGACGAGTAAAGATAGAAAACTAAGTTCATCTGTTCCAGTTCACTGTGACATAACGGATATAATCGCGTACCTACCCGTTTCGATTTGTAACAATAAGATTTAGTGCTGTTTTTACTAATGGCACGTACACTGATTTTGTATGTACATGTTTAAGGTCATGCAATATACTACATAATAGTAAGATAATAATAATCATGCCAAGAACAATAAAAATTGCGATAAGATTGATCCGATGGCAGCCGTAACGGCGAACAGATTTTTCGGCACGACGCCGAAATGTCGGATATTTAGACCGAGAATTACCGATTATTTTATAGCCTGTACCTGGTGGTGTACAAACGCTGTGCAGCCTTCTGAGATGCTGTTGTGTAATGATATCTATAAGTATATTTCCCTGTTCGCGTTATTGTGTAGACGCCCGCAGGGGCTGCATGTATAGCCGCTATCCAAATTGTCCGGACAATAGCAACGGAGCTACAAGCTTTAAAGTTCTTGTAGAAAATAATTGCGTACGTAATATTGTAGTAGATGAACCCATATATCCAGATAGTAGACGAACGATCTCACCAGTCGAAGTCTGAATTCGTTAACTTCAGCCAGCTCTTCGTGTGAATAAGCTAAATGTACAATAACATCGCTGGTTATGAAGTGCGAATAAGGCCATAATTAACACATCCGCATTAAGGCACTGGTAAAAACTGCTGAAAATGTAAATCCGTATATGAGAAATAGGTAGTCATCGTATGAACAATTATAACATGTATAGCGCAATGTCTCTATTACTATTACTAACGTTTATTTATGTTTTTGTTACATATTAAGTACATGAAGACCTGGTTTAATTGGTTACCTTCTTTAGCCTTCCTCGCATAGAAATTTTCTCTTGGGAAATCAACCCTATTTTTCTATATTAGAAATTTCACAGTCGAATAACCATCCCAGCTGCAGGCCAATAGATGAATCGAACAGTTGTTAAAAAAAGCTATCGAAAAAGAAGTTCTATGTTTTGATGACGGTGACGCTATTGCTGATGATGGCCGACGAATCCTCATTTCAGGGCCTTTAAAGACACGCTACGCAAAGCAGGATCATAGCCGGCTAAATTCGTCGAAGCAGCAAAACTAATCTCTTGCTCGAGTTATTGACCATATGGGCGCTTGTAGTCGTAGCTGGCGATCCGGAGGTTGATTCCCTAATAAAGATGGTCTCTGCTCGTTTCCGCTTGAGGGCGCCACGTAAACATGCTGTTGAGTTAATGTCTACATTGTTGCTATCGTTCAGAGCGGTGTGTATGAACTAACAGCGTTGTTATTACTAGCTGAGGCGGCAATGTTGTGTCTACTATCTAATAGAATGTACGCTCTTGTTTCTTAGCTGCTATACAGTTACCCCAGTTGCCCGCTAAACATTACTCAGTACAATACCCTGCCGAGGTAGTTGGCCTTCAGTGTGTCAAATGCTATACTCTGTGGTTTTTGCTCGAACTTGCGGTGGCCCACATGTATTTGGTACACTCGTTATTTCAGTGAGATTTTGTTGGCTATCCAGAGTTGTGGCGCAACGTTAGCTACAACAGCAGCGGGAGCAGTGCACCCCCCGTACAAAAAAAACAACGATGAGCCGCGGCAAAAATCATGCTGTACACAGCACTAATAGGGAGGCTCTACACACAAATGCAGAAGGAGAACAAGCACTAACAGCAATGGCTGCAGTAGCTGCCGTGCAGAGATCGAGCGTTTGCCTGTTGACTCTTTTGCCGGAGACGGCCCAACTCCTGCGCGCATTCTTCCTCCTCGCCTTTGTCTTCTTTTTTATTTCCGTGGTTCGCCTACTTGGCCACAACAGTACCGGAGCTTCTGATCTATCAACGATTCTCGATGAACGCTTCTGTGCGGCGCTTCACGAGAAAACTTGATTTGGCTTCATGCGGACCTCGGCTTACACACTGGCGCCTGATGAAACATTTGATCGTTTCACCGATGGCTGGTCGGCTTTCAACGAAGTGGCTCACTGTGACGTGCTGCTCATAAAGCGATGGCCGTGCTCAGGTTGTTGTCCATGTTAACCAGCTTGTCCGTCCACATTATACCCTACATCCTTTGAATTTATTCAATGATTTAATTTAACGGACAGAGATGCGTCCGTCCGGCGAGCATCCGCTGGCCCTGCGTCGCCGCTATGGAAGAGTAGCTTCCGCTCTAAAAGCCCAGTTTTTTTCGTAACCAGATCGAAAAAATGCCTAGGAAAAAAGGTGTCAATAGGAATTAAGTTTTCCATTGTTCTTTGATGTTTTTCTTACCCCTCACAGTTTCGATACACATGTCTGTTACACCTGAGAAGAGCGGAAGCTGGACACAGCCCTAAAGTGGTATGAGGTGTCGCTTGTACAAAACAACCCGTAACCGACTTACTCGCGAGCCGTATTACTTAACAAAAGGTCGTTGGTCTTGTCAAATCTATTGGTAAGCTAAAGAGTCGTTAGTGAGAATTTCAACACAATTTTGTATTCGCTATTCAATAGCTGCACAGAACCAACTCGAAAAGAAACGCTTGATGATCAACTTAGCCATTGTTACTGCTCCTTGTTAACGTCACCGTTGACGTATACACCGTCTACAACTACACCCCACGTGTCCATTTTCCCATGATGTATCAGAGAATCTACTCTCTTCTCGTGTTTGACTTTCACGCGCCAAACTTTTCTCTAGCACTCTCTTATACCTAGTCCAGTCTTCCGTTCTCGCCTCTAGTTGCATCTTACTTATCTGTCCGATTCCATTTTACCTTTCGGCAGCGGCCGACCGCTAGCTAGCGCCGCGGTTAAGCATCGTTACCCCCAGATAGCGCGATCTGTCCACGGCAAAACGTTCTATCTATCGCTTTATCGTACCGCGAGAGATAAACGGGCCTCACTCTTTTGTTTTCGGCATCTCAACAGTGGCTGCTTTTGCCTATCCTCTACATGAGCCGTATTACCCCACAATGCTATCCATGAAAAATCGAAATATTGAAATGAATGTATCACGACCAGCTGACAACAACGGAAAGAGGGAAACGAGCTAGGAAGAAAAATCAGGAAAATTATATTCTCTCGTACTATTCACTCTGATTATCATTTTCGTTTACATTATATCGTATTATGATGATTATAGCAGTAATATGCTACTTCGTACTCGTACATTTATTATGCGCTAGCCACTCTCTCGTCATCTCTCCCTTTCTATATATGTATATATATAGAACGAGAGAGATCTTCGTTTGCATGTGTTGGTAAATGCGACCATGTCCAATGGCAGACGGTACAATGGAGCCGCTTTATGGCTGCGCTTTGGCTTTGCCTCTACGGTGTTTTCAATAATACAATGATATCATAGTCATCAATATTGCTACTTTAGCGCGAGAGACAGATGTTTTGCTCACTGTTATTAACGCAATTTTCTATTTGGCCTTATTAATGCGTTAATAACATCTCAGATACCCCCATTGACGTAATTTATAGAGAGAAAGGATGGGAAAAAATTGAAGCTAAAATCTATCGGCGCGTTAGAGTCATTGTACAGAAGTGGCGACACCAACGGCGCAGTGACCTTCTGCGGTAAGTAGTAAGCGCTTAGCGTCAGGGGTATAGCACCGCAGCAGTAGACGCCTGCCCCTAACAATAACATCAACAACAGAATCGCGTCGCTCAACAGAGGTTGTCGTCACTACAGTCATGATGGTAATGACAGACTTTGTAGTAATTGCTGTAACAGCATTTAGGTAACTCTTCGAGTCTCGTTTCCATATTGCTTCATTAGCAATCTTTTTTGAGTGATCATGCAGTCTGTCCAGCCGGCGGATCCACATAGGCCCTCACATAGCCGCATCATTATAGACTCAGCTTAGCTTGCTGACCCGATGACTAAAAGCAAATAGATAACGAATAAAAATCGATCGGTTACTACGAGTACTGGCGAGTATTCCGCTATATATTTACGTCTGTTCCGTTACTTCTGCATCGTCTGCCTTTTGGTCGGTTCTTAACGCGAGCGATATTGTACTATTTATAATGTAACTGCTCGACTTAAACAGAAGATCCGCCCCGGTTAACTAGCCGCCAGCGCGACCCGCTTCGACCCGCTATCGTCGTTCGGTTCTTTGAAGAAGATGTTTACTTCAGCGTAAAAAGAGCATTGTCTCACATATGGCATGTATCTCGTTTTGTGTCCCTGCGTAATCGAACGCAGTTTTGTCATGCAGGAACGATAGCTACAAGCAAAACGCTATTTCCAACAAGTGGCGACAGCCGGTCTTTCACATGTTTACACCGATAAGCTAGTATCGGTAGCAACGCTTAGTTATGAGACTGTCCGCTTTCTAGTTATGACCATTTTCGGCCCCTCAACGTTGAATTTTGTGCGCGTCTTAAAAGGCAAAACAGAGCGACGCGTATGACGGTTCCAGTATTCTCGTCACGTAAACGGCGGGATGGCATGATTCGTCGTAGCATCCGTTGTTTGTTCCTAAACAATTTTATGGGCGTTCGGGAAAACTTTTATGGGCAAGATACTGCTAATGCTGGATTTGAACATGTTAGTGGTATACCTGAGTCAGCACCTAATACATATCGGAAGAAAAACAGCATGAGAACAGACTTCGAGCTGGGGAGACATATATTGAATGTTGAGAAAGCAGCACTTTTTAGATATTTCGTCTATTTACAGGCTGGTACTTAGCGGGCAGAGAACTGAAAGGGCATGTATACATTGACGCTAGTATCATACAATACTGCGACCAATTTCCGAGCTTTCGAAGATTCGATGTATGTAAAATTATACGAAATGCATTAATGCACATGCTAACAAAATATACCGACGAAGACTTTCTACTAAATATTTACCTTTTTAGAAGAGCCAGCTTATCTCTGACATCATTAACAGGCCTCAGTTCTGAGTTTAATTACTCTCATTTTGCTCGTCTTTGTTCTACAGGAAAGTTTGTCGTAACTGTCGATGTCCACGCGAGGACCATCAGCAGTCGGGCTCCACAGCCAACATGGCCGAGGTCGAACGGCTCATGCTCCCGGCGCCCCCGCAGCATATGATGACCTCGCCCACGTCTTCAGGATCTACTGCAGCCGTGGGCGCTAGCGGAGCTTCTGGAACAGCTACGGCGTCTGCTGGAGGAGCGGTGTCGAACTCTTCGCAGCAGGCGACAACGGGGGGCCAAAATGGTCATGGCCCTCAGCAGGCACCGTCCCCAGAAATGGGCTCAGGACATCGACAAAGTGACGATGATAGCGGATGCGCGCTCGAGGAGTACACTTGGGTACCTCAAGGACTCAAGCCGGAACAAGTACGTATTTTCTACTGGCCACAATTCGATTCTTGATCACGAAGCGTATGCACCAATATGGCGATTTCGACAATGCCGACGGTGGCAATAACAATACGCTTTCGGTCATCAACCGCTGTTGGAAAAAGACAGTAGGTAAAGTCATAGCCGGAAACGCCTTTAAATAATTGTAGAATAAGACTAAACTGGTAGTAATGGCGCGATACGGCTTTCACTGGCCACTGTGTATAGTCTATGAACGTACCACATTATATATAAAGCCCGCACACCCTCAACCCAATGCGAAATAGGCTCTCCAAATAAATCAAATATTATTATATGCATCCATAATGCGCGAGTGGCACCTAACACCAGTTCCAAGATGAATATGACGATGTAGCCCTCCAGCAGGAACAGCCACTTCATCTAACTTATAGATGAGTGAACGGCAATCGCGTATATCGTATCGCTGAAAACATTATGACCAATTATGGAAACATTACGAAGACATATATGATGTTGGATTGGAACTGATCCAATCTTATGGAGGGCTAGCCGGTACTGGAGGACCAGCAGACGAACAAATAACCAAAGAAAAGGGGCCAGTGGTAAACTGTATAGAGACATAAAAGAAATGGGACTTATCCAAGAGAAAAAATGTACAGCACTATGGCGCGATGTTGTTGATACCTGCTTAAGTAGATATTTGTTTTGGTAGTGAGCGTATACGCTTACCAACGATCATCTTCACTGTACGCTCAAAGGCGAGACCACAGGCTGATCCTGAGGGGCAGTACTACTCGATTTGGTACTTGACCCAGTTTCTTGACTTTACTATTGGCTAGGGGCTTCTACCCATTTTCTCTACAGCCAGTAGTTGATTAGCGGCGGCGTGTTTTTCTCACAACTTATACCTGCTTTCCTGATTAGCATATTTGTAACTCATAATGAAAGCGGAATAGCAGCAAACTGACTACGCTACCAATGGCAGTGGTTCAAGAAGAAATCTGGTTAGCTGAGAGCAGCGTCAATCGGAACTTCATTCGTTTGATGGACTCCGGTTTAGACCACCGCCCCAACTGCGGTCGCGGCCATTGCCTTCATTGACGACGATAATGTTGGAGCTGTCGTCGCACAGCGTTGGCTGGAACATGGAGTGCGTCAATTATGTTATCGTCGTCACGAACTTCAGCAGGGGCGTTTGTTTAGCATCGGCGTTACCGGCACGTGCTGGGTCAGAAACCGTAATGGTGGTGTGAAAGAAAGGGTAAACGAGTAAGCCGGTGGATGGCATGAACTAAAAATGATCGTAAAAACAAGGACAAATGGGAAGCCTGCCACGAAGTTAAACTTGACTATTGAAAAGAAAATATAATAAAAAGCATTAGCACTTATCTGACCTTCGTCGTTCTCTCTTTCCCGCGCACTTAATTATCTAGCTTTTGCGAGTTTCATACTATCTAGGCAGTCATGTCTGTTGAAGACGATGCGATTTCAAATGCAAGAGATCCACTTAATTATATAACAGCCATCCGAAGTCAATATCGATGGACTACTTGTGACGATAATTATAACAGCTGCCACTACATACATGTATAATGAATACGTATTCTGGTCTTGCTCGTTAAATTGCCCTTGGCATTTTTGCTGTTGCTTTTTGCTGCGTCCCAGGGATGACCGTTATGGGCACAGTCAATCAAGATCTGTTCGAGTGTAAAACCAGTGGAACACCATTAAGTGTACGCATCCGTTAACAACATTAGATGTGTACTATATGATGTCTATTGAACACTACAATTTTTCGCAGGGCAGCAGTAAGATAGCCGAATATCTTAACGCGATAAATAATTATGGTATCTAGATGAACAGCTGGTCGCTTTGTCAGGCCGAAAAAAAGGACAACCATCTTTTAGATTAGATGCAGCAGAAGTGAAAAGTCTAGCAACGTTACGTATGATTGGTCTGGTCCTTGGTAGCGTCTAGATATTGTTCGAGCCGACAACCGAAGCCGGAGATATAAGGGAATATGTTTGTGGGAAAAGAAAGAAAAAAAGACCAAAAGAGATTGATACGCAGCTGGCTGATTTTTAAGGAAAACGTAAATAGATCGTAGTAGAGAAAAGCTGTATCTAATTTCGTTGTTTGTGTCCCCTATCACGTCAAACCTACTCGATCGGGTTAACTGAAAGGAGATATATCTCTCTCAGTAGATATAATATAATGATAATATTATGATATAGTAATATTGTACAGTAAATGAAAAAAAGCTACCATCTATCAAAGATATTTATCCATCGCTAAAGTCTATGTGTCTCATTCACATATTCCACGATCATACCATGAGCTTGCGTAACGTAAAAATTATTACAAATTACTTTTTACCTAACGTGCCGTGTCAAATATGTGCAGATCTGACCCGGCTAGACCGGCTGCCCTACACCGCCGCTGTCAATACCGGTCCGGCCACTTCGAAACACAAAAATGGCTTTATTGATTATTGTCCCGCCCAGTTAAGAGATTACTTCAGGTGCGTCTACAACCCCCGCAGCGTTTGCAATTTCAGTCGTTCTTCTGCTTTCAGCTCATCATCTTCAGCAGCATTGTCATCATTTGTGGCTTTTGTACCTGCTACCGTTGTCCATCCTGTCGCTCGGGGGCATCCCACTCCACAACGTAACATGTAACGACACAAAAACGTCCATTCGACAAAAAGTGGCCTTACGTCTCGTTGACTGGTTTGCGTAATCCTACAGTGTTGCATGTTACATGAAAGGTTTCTCGTGCTCACACACATGGCCATCGCGACGTATTTTTCGGCCTACTTGACCACTGGGTTATGGTAGAGTGATTATTGTATCAATGTAGAAATCCCATATAGTTACGTACAGCCAGACGTGTTGGTGTTAGCAACACCTACATATATATAATCGTGGGAGAATTGTGAATAGTGTCTAATAGATTTTTAAGTAAAAACGAAAACCATACTTACGCCATTTCTGCAAAGTGGGCTTCCACTGAACGTGAGGACATCACGCTCCGTGCAGCAGAAATAATGAGTCCTGTAATTTTTAATGCTGTGGCTGTCCTTAAAAAAAGCAAAGCTATCACTCTTCGATAACACTGCCATTTCGCTGAACGAAAATCTATTCAAAGCCCTTTCTGCGTCGGATAGAAGAAACGTAGGACCAACTTAGGCCTATCCAGTGCGTGAAACAAGTGACAAGCGGTAACATCAACATGTTGACATTACCTGTCTAAAATTTAAGAAGTATTAATACAATCTGAGATTCTACGTATTATATATGGTTCGTCGTCGGAAAGGCCGCTTCCTGTTTGTATAGCGTCATATGGTACTGTTTTCGTCCGGTTGAATTTCATTTGACTGAATTTTACTATCGCAGAACATGGAAAGGCTTGCGCCTGTTTCATGTAGGCGATACCGAAAATTGTTTAATAAAAATCTAATAAATTGCAATTGACAGCGTTGATCCTGCAATCAGAACTAAAAATCACCGATTTCACCAATATCGCCCTTCCTATATATATTGATATGATGAAATGATAATGCCATATGTGTGGACATGGAGTTCTACGTTAAGATGTCCTTTGCCGATTTGTTCGTTACATTAAAAGTGGTTTTATCCGATAATTGGATCACTAGATCTGATCGTGGCAAGCGTTGTGCTATATATGTATATATATTGTGTACTTTACGTATTTTTATTTATTGAAGTGAATTAGTCCATCTGGCCGGTCCTTATTCGATGTCGGTGCATTTGACTTGGCCTGCTGTTGCCGGTGGAACGGACGAAGTCCGTCCGAAGATTAAACAGCGTTTAAAAAACGAGGTCTGTGGAAAGGGCTGAAGTCCAATCAACTGTTGTCAACGTCAAATACTTCATCAATCTAATCTGTACTGTCTGTTTCGGGCCACTTACGAATAGATGATAAAAAAACAAACGAAAGAAAGAAAGAGAGGCCAAATTATTTGTAAAAGATGTTAACGTCCAGTGATTTTTAATGCATACATTTTTTTACTGAATATATTATGTCACGTGTATCGCTATGCCAGGATTTGAGTTCATTAGTTTAAACATCAACTTTTGTTCGATAGCATATCTGCTTTTTGGAATCGGTACCAGATCGGCTGGCCTAGCACGGACCTGAACTAGGTCGAAAGGATCAACACTGATTGTACCGCCGGCATATAATTTAATCGTCCAATGGATGGAGTGTTACTCAAAGGCGTCGTATGGAAGCCATTGTGTTTCTCTTCGTTCGTCAACTAAGATCTTCTCAGCGCATTCGGTTTCAAAATATCACTTTTTGTCGTTGTCGTTGTTCTTGCGCCTTCGTATCACTCACAAATTTGTTACAAGTATGATTCAATCTATGGGAACAATCTGCAGCGACTACGGAAGCTTGTCACGGTACCTTCGTCGTGTCCACAAGCACCAGCATTCACAGCAGGACGGTTCTGCCGAAGGAGCCAGGTGAATGGCTAGCACCTTAGGAATGGCTAGCGAACTGGCTGGCCTTTTTCTATTCGTAGCGATACACCAACCGCATATATGCTCTGATTATCATTGTGGCTTGTGTTTGTTGCGTATCTCTACGTGCATGAAAACGTGCGCGTGTCTAAACATAGGTTCGCTTCGGCCAGTAGATCCTTCGTTGGCAAAACAGGACTTATCCCGGTAAGTCACCGCTACACGGTCACACATGGAAGACGAACGGATGACCAAAGAAGGCTTGGCAGTTTGTGCTTACTGCTCAGCGCAGTCGTCAGCAATAGAAACGCCGCGAAACGATAAGGCCACTCCCAAATGTCGGTCTGCTTAGATAAGTGTCGGCCACTGCACGACATCATAGGCTTCAGGTGACGCTGCTGGTGCTCAGGGTGACGACTATAGTACGACCAGCTGTAGCACAATTGCATGCAATGCAATTGCGCGCATTTTGGCCTATCCCTCAACCAGCAGCAACATCCTTTGGGAGTCTGCGGCAGTGTCGACCGAAGC